GTTCTTCACAGCAGCCTCAGTGTCTCTGACATGTGACGGTCAGCTGGGCTCTGATGGATGGACGGTGAAGAGGGACACAGGAAGTGGGACTGAGTGAAGATGCCAAAAGAAAGCTCCAACCGATCCAGGAGAGAAGGACGACCGCTGCCCAAGCGAAAACCTGTAGTGATCCCGTACCTGTCAGGAGTGTCGGAGCAGTTGAGATGCATTTTTTCAAAGAGCTCCTCAATACACTACTTGTACTTCAGCTTGGCCTCTTTGATGACCAGAGTCACTGTGCCCCTTTGTAAGCCTGTAAGTCCCCAAATTTGAGACAGTGGTGACAACAGACTGGGACCAGAAAAAGTAGCTGCATATATCATTCATATGGACTGAAACAGTGAGGGTTACCGTGAACATGACTCATGCAGTTTATCAGGGAAGCGGCTCAGCCTCGCTCTGCACAAGCAGTGTCACAAGCTGATGGTCTTAACAGGGAAGTGGTGAAGCTGAAGGTGTCACTCTGCTGTCAGTCGTCATTCCGACAACATGAAGACTTCAGGTGTGTCTCTGCTCCTCGGTGAGTCAAACACTGAAAACTTTTCATGCTTACTTTCAGTCATGTATTCATTTATCACCGCTTCATCACACAATAAAGTGGGAAAACACATTTTCAGCAGGAGGAAGCTTTTGCTGAGGGTGGATGGATCCCCAAGTGAAGTTTGTTGGATCTGCTTAAAGTTTGGGAGAGAGGAAGAGTTCGCTCTTTTTCTGTTGCCTGTTTTCTAGTAGGGCTAAAGTAATTTAATTAAAAGTCATTGAAAATAGACAGTGATGCAGCTCACACTTTAACTCAGAGGCATCTAATGAAATAAATTCTTTCACACAAGCATGAAGCAGGAAAGTGTGCTTACATCATGACTTTGTCTCATCAACAGATGTGGATGCAAATGAGTTCTAAGCAGGAAAACCTTTTTTGTGATCCATCATGTAATTTGGACTCAGAGTTAGAGCTTCCTGTTCATTTCACTGTCTGTAACATGATGACTTAAGGAGAAGTCGGGCAACCTCGTTTCT